AATGATTCAATGTCAGACCACAATAAAATGACAAGCGTAAAAAAAAGGCTAGCCAAGCACTTGTACATTGGCTGTAATGAATGGACTGAAACTCCAAAAGATTGCGAGCACATTTATCTTTTTGTCTGCATGCTGCGACTTGAAGCTACAAAAAGCTCTGAACAATACAAGCTGTGAACAAAGAGAACTATCAAAGAACAAATTGTTATACAGAAAGAAGAGCCAACAACTTCCAAGCCGTTTAACATCTTCAATGGATCCAACAAGTTCAATTCTTGCTGCATGGACTAAATATGTAATCCAGCGTCTTGAGATTTCCGAACTATGAACAGACCAACCTCCAAGCATTTGACTGTGATTTCTGAACCAAAGAGTCATCTTTTATCTTCACGTGTACTGCAAGATGAAAAACTCATTGGTGCTTATCAGAGAGCACTAAAATCCTTATTTGTACAGCTAGAAAATAAATGGATGTGCTTCCCAAGGGACCTTACTTTATGACAACATGTAGAGTACATATCTCGTGTCTCTTGATGGGAAATAGATAATTTTTTGAGAAAAGAGCAGCGATTAACCTTATACACAAGACATCTGAGTGAGTGAATTGGTCTTAATGGTAATGCTAATGGGTGCTAGTAATCTCTATTTAATGAGAACTTGCTCAGTGTGAGCTGCAATATAATGATGTGTTAAACTGCTCCATCATCAGCAGCTCTCCAACAAAGGATGGGATGTGGGAAGTTGCGTTGGTACGGTGTTTCACAATTTGACCTTTGGTTCACGAGCAAAACAATTTCGCAGTCACACCGAGCGTTACAAAACGGTCTCAGCTTCCACCAAGCGTCAAGGTGCAACTGCATAATGACAAATTATAAATAATATTCAATGAAACAACTCAATGATTGAAATAAATGGCCTTTTGTGTCTCTCTCTAAAATTAAAGGAAACAAATAACACATAAATATGTAAAAGTAATATTTAATATAATCTATTTATCTGAGTGATAATGTAGGCTAGATTAAAATATGAATTAATAAAAACTTGTCTGATGTTGGAGAACTGAGAAATGAACTGTCTGAGAACTACTAAAACGCAATTCAAATCAGTGAAGCATTTCTTTAAAGCACGTTTTGTCTGATAGTCTTTTGGGTGATACATGGAGCGGCTGATTGCATGACAATGAATTCTTGTGGATTCTCTTACTCAGCAAAGAAGCATCCCAGTTTGGCTTCTGCACAATAAAGCATCCTTGTTGGATAGTTCACCCAAACAAAGAGCAATTTATAAGAAATTAGGATCAAACAACTCATATGCTGGTCAAAATGTTTTTTGCCTTAGTGGTCTCCGTTGTGCAGAAACAAGGGAATGTTACAGAATTTTAATCAAGACACAACTGCCTTTATTTACTGAAATATCTACATAATTTAATTCATGAGCCATGTTCACAATGGGTTTAAATAGGGGCTTTTGTCTTTGTCAAAGTCAATGAGTTCATTGATCATCTAGTGGTTGAGTTTTGGATTGCTTTCAGCATCTTGACTCATCAATCATTATCATCACGTCTGTCAAAGTGGTGTTTAGTGAGGCACCAAACCTGACCTTTGCTTAAAGTATTTTTCTCCAATTCAAAACATCAAATCCAAACGACAAGTTTCACAAATCTCTCACTGATTTTCTAATCATGACACGCACAGCATTTCATTTTCAGTCACCAAATAATTGAGCCACGCCATAAACTTAGCAACCGAGCAAAATGTTATAATAGAAATAGGGCTGTCAAACGATTAATCGCATCCAAAATGAATGTTTGTGTTTACATATATGTGGGTGCACTGTGTATAATTATTTTAGATATATAAATACAAGTTTGTATATATTTAAGAAATATTTTCTTTTTCATGTATATAGATTTATATTTAATTTATATTATAAATAATAATTTTTTTTCTTAAATATACATGCATGTGTGTATATATATATATACACACACAAAATAATTATACACAGTGCACCCACAAATATTATGTAAACACAAACTTTTGTTTTGGATGCGATTAATCGCGATTAATCGTTTGACAGTCCTAAATAGAAATATACGCCAGCATAAGAATGTCTGTCATCCACTCACACACGTACAACAAAAACATTACCAATAACACCAGTAATCTCTCTATATAGCCCAAACTGAAAGAATTAAGAGAGCTCTAGTCTCTCCTTGCGCTGTCATTTTTACAGAGCAAAGCAACCAATCAATAGCGAGGCGGGCATGGCAGATTCCAGCCTTAATCCTCAAAATATTCTTATGTGGATTAGCTTCTCCCCCAGCCATTTTCATTTTCACTCTGTAAGGTATTAGTCTGACAGCCAAGTGGAGCAAAACAAATAATAGACACTTCAAATGGGAAGAAACGTCTAATAACAGCAACCTGGTTAAGCTGCTGCTGCTTGGCTTTTCTCTATTCCCATATACTTGTTTGCTGCAGGCCCTAAACAAATTATATGTGCTATATGTTGTGTACTAAACGTTCATCTCATTTGAAAGCAGTATCACTGGCTAATGGAAAACTGAGGGATTCCTTGAAATTTGAGACTATTGTCAAAGCAGGGCTGTTAAGCATAAACCTCTGTCCTTTGCATTCAAAGACATTGTGTGGAGACACAAAAGCAGAATTAAACAATGCTTAAAGCCTTCAAACAATGGGCACAGAAGACACTCCAATCGTTTAAATAGTCACGGGGGGTAGTAAGAGTGAATTGATTGAGATTTTGAGCAAGTTTGGAAGGAACAGTGATGGTTAGCTAGAAATGCTAGTAGCCACATTATAAGTAATTATAAGGGTTCAAGTCAAAAGTATAATTAGACAAAGTTTGTTTTCTCTGGCACTGAGGGTGCTAATCCACACATAGTTCAAACTCTTATCATATCATAATATTTTGCTATACAGTCATGTAAACACAATAAAACTGTTATACATTTAGGCAAGAGTCAACTGACTGCCACCTACACACAGTTGATCAAGTAATGATAGACTATCCACAAAAGGTTTGCAGAAATAACGGTATTACTCATCACATGACACTAAAAGACAAGTGGTGACAGATCAAATAATAGATGATATTGTAGCATGTCGATTTCAGAATGATTGCAAGATCGCTATAATGATTTGGCTATTGCGCAAAAATCATTCTATGAGGAAATCAAGAAACTTGAAAAAAATCCGGTTTTTCATGCTATAGCCTATCTCTCTACACTATCGCTGGCACCAAGCACAGCAACGAAACGCATACAGAAAGGTATGGGTAAAGAAAGTCTCTTGTTTTGACACGATGTGATTTTTCAATCACGGACTATTTCTCCTACAAAAGTGAAAGCAGGTTTATGTTTGCACACGTTGTCTGAGCGTCGTTATCCGGAGGGATAAAGTCATAGATAGACCCCATCTACACTGCATACGAGCGCCTAAGTTACAATTGTCGCTAAGGGACAACGCTTCTGAGCACAACAGGACGAGCATCGACCAAGATGTTATTTTTCCAAGCGAAGAGACCTGCACTTGTTGACTACGTTTGAACACTACGAATTCTGTTGACAAGAATGAATAGCCTACAATCACCCTCTTCAATAAAGAATAGAAGGCTATTCTATAAAGAAAGCGGATAAAATATAAGAGCGGGTAAAAGGTCAGTCTGTTAGAGACTGCGTTGAATGACGGAGGAAATTGGCAGTCCCACGAGCAACAAAACATCCCCTAAGCAAAGAAGGACCATACGAATTATTCTAATGTTTTCCAAAATGTGATTTGTTTGTTTTAACCACAGCCCCTAAAGTTTGGATAGCGAGAGAAATGAAAACAGAAGGCTACAGAGAAACAGCGCGCGGATGCACCCAGTTTAGAGCAAGCGGTCACACTCAAATGCGCTACTCTCACTTAAAGGGACAGTTCATACAAAAATGACATTTCTGTAATTTATTCGCCCTCATGTTGTTCCATGTGGAGTCCTAACGCTGTATGACTCTCTTTCTTCCGTGGGGCACAACAAAGACGCAAAAAAATGTTAAACTGACAGCCGGTCACCATTCACTTTCATTGCATCTTATTCCATATAATAAAAGTGAATGGTGACTGAGGAAGTCATTCTGCCAAACATCTCCGTTTGTGTTCCGCAGAAGACGGATTTGAAAGAACATGAGGAACAGCAAATGACGACTATTTTAAATCTTAGGAGAAGTGTCCCTTTAAAACTAAAACATAAGGTGATGAACAAACGACGTTCATCCGTATTCTTAAACTTATACCTTAAACTTAAAGGAACTTATTCCCAGGCTTATGCGAGCTGCGTGAAGCCGATGCATCGCGGTCCGTGATGCAGAAGCAACTGTATCTTTTAACAATCCATTCAATGACTTGCAAACTCGCAAGGACTCAAAAAGACTGCAAATAATAAAATATGATTCGAGAACCACAAACAAGAACAATGTCACTTAACGAAAAAAAAAAAGATCAACAAACCCATTACAATAATCCATTGGAACAGAAGCTGTTACTCTATTTCAGAACGCAGATTTGCGTTCAATATAGCCTAAAGGTCAGTTTATGTTCCGCTCTCCAAAAGGCTGCTAATATAGTGATAACATCTTTATGTCTCTGGTACTATGTTTACCGCAGCTAAATTGCTGGTGAAACAATTTCAGTTTATGTAAGGAAGAGAAACATCCCGCTTCCCCCGTACGAGAGACCCGCAGCAAAAAGCAATTCCGGACTTTATCGCGTCAAAGTTAACAGAAATGACCAGAAAACCCACATTTGACACGCCCGCTTCAGTTTCGACAACACATATGTAACTTTGTAACCAGTCGGTACTTTGAACTATCACTTTCAATCAAGACGCCACACTGTGTATAAGCTACAAATCTCCGCAGGCGGCGAATGTCCGTCGAGCTGGCTCAACCATTATTGCCTTAAAATACAAGCAGATTAAAGGAAAAGCACAGTTCCTACCTGAATGGATAGCTGCCGAAATGGTGAATAAAATGAGGAGAGTAGCGAGAGATCCGTTGCTCGTGTTCGCCATGTTGGACACCTGCTTCATTCTGAAGCTCGTGAGTGAGTTGAGCTTCACCTAGAGCAACGGGAGCTGCGCGTGATGAGATGCTGGGAAAGGGCGGGAACAAACACCCATTCAAAAGAACGTCAATTCATTTAATACAACCCGTATAGCCTACTGAACCGGCTCTCTTGATGTTACTGAGTAGATTTTTTAAAAAACAAATTTGTTTGTTTATATAAAAACACCCTGTTGATCAGAAGAGCCTCTTAAGAGGCTTCCCTGCCCCTCCGAAAAAAAAGTGCAATGGTAGTTTTAGGCAGAGTGCCATCAGTGCAGTTACAGGCTATAGTTACTGTGTTTATTATTGTTAATACAACTATAACTTAAACATATTTGCCATTTTAGCAATATGTATATTTTATCATTCAAACTATCATAATAATAATAATACTATACTAATAATAGAATTTTCAGTGGTAAGCTACTAATGCCACTGTAGCAGTGCTAACTATAAAAATTATTTAAGTTGGGACCATGGTTACCATGGATGTTCACAATGTGCAACAGTATAAGGTCTTTAGAGAAAAAGGGTGCCTCTAGTGGTGTTACCTCTGTCTCTTTCACATTCTCTGAACACATGACATTAAAAAAAATCCTGAATGGAATAGGTATTTTCCATTAGAAATATATTTAGGATTGAGGATTAAATGTATGCTAATTTGAAAAAGGTAAATGTACTCAAATTTTTAAATGACATTGGAATAAAACACTGTAAAAATGTAAATGATCAATACATTATGATAACATGTTATTCCATTGCTTTAACATTCAACAAAATAAGTTAAGCAATTTTCAATTTTACCAGATTGAACTATTTTTAAGCCAGTTTTTAATGTAATTTAAGTTGAAATGACTTAAAAAAAGCCAAGTTGAAGGCAGCTTTTTTTCAATGCAAGTAATGCATAGACTAGAGTAAAAAAAAAACGAAAGTAAAGAAATTGTCAAAAAAAATAGAAATATATAAGTGAAGGTCTTGAATATAAAATTATTGAAGCACTGTTAGGTGTAATCAGCTCAAAAGTATTCAGAGGAGAAAAAAAAAACTTCCTGTTAGATATCTCTTCCCTCGATATAAAAGAGACTTCATCAACATAATTATGTTGACTTTTTAATATAAGTTAATTGGGTGCTTTCTCAAATTGACTCGCAGTTGGAGCCAGGGTTGCAAATTGATAAGGTAATCCAGGTAGCTCTACCCTTGGTGGCTCATTATGCTAATTCTCTTGGAAGGCTCACAGGGCAAGTGCTTTGATTTTCTGGAGATGAACAGGAATTAAAGAAATGTTTATACAAGACTCAAATTCTGATGATACACCCTAACACTTATGGCTGAACATGCTTTTCCGTGCCTTCCTGGCTCAAATTCTTAGGGCATAATGACTGATTGTTCCTGGAATACAACAGATAAATTTAGAGTCTATGAAAAGAACAAAAGTAGATGAAGTGCTTCCTCTTGAAGATTTTCTCCCTTAAGGATTATTTTATAAGCATAAAGTTCACTCTTCTTTAGGTAGGCAAAGATCCGGGAAAAGTTTCTAACATTAAGATTTCTAAAGTTTTGTTGTATGATTCAAGGTAGCATATACAGTAGGATCAAGGCTTAAAACATTATGCAGTCATGAGATACATATATTTTACATACTGTTGTCAGTGATGTAAAATACATTTTAGAGTACACCTTTCCTTTAAAGAATATCAAAGCCTGCCTGGGTTAGATGAAAGAAACCCCCAAGAGTGGACAACAGACTTCACAATCTTATGTCAGAGTCAAACAGTCATGTTTTCACCTTGCTGTCCTAAAGGTTATTCAGAGAGGAAAAAAAATCAGTATGAGAGCTCTTTAGTTAATGAAATCTTCCTGTTATTTATTGATTTGCCTCAAGGGGTTTGTTCTTGCTAGGAAATAAGTGATATTCATTTGGTATCAACACTAGAGTGCACACATTGTCCCATGATACTGTCTCAGCAGGGCTTCTCTATAATTATTCATTTAACGACTTTCTCAAAGCACATGATTGTGATGGGAAAAAGGTATTGAGGATTAGTACAGTAGACATTTGGCTTAGGGGCTGACTATATATTAAAAGAGGTTGACACACTATTAAAATATACTATATTACAAAGCAGCATTGGTCTAATAAATATAGGCGTGCAAGATAAATTATATTCCATCATGCTCATTAAAAAACTATAAAACGGTAGCCTAGGATAAATATGCTTCATACTGTAGCCTATTGTTTATTAGTATACCGGTAACTTTAATATAATTATCAGATTAAAGCTGCAGTTCGTAGTTTTTCCTATTTGTCGCCATCTCTGTTCAAAATCTGCAATTGCAGTTATTCTCGGAATTATCAACTTTACTTGGGTTGACGGCACAGCACGGATTAATCCCATGTTTTGAGGAGAATGGGTGGGTCAGTCACCACATCGGTGTGGTTCGGAATCGCAGATTATACTTTTTGTAAGTATGACCAACATAAGAATTTTCACTGGAAAATGTGATCTGAACAAGTAACATCCACTTTTGTTCTTACCAACTAAAGGGAAAAAAAGCATTGCAGTCAATCATACTGATTAAATCTAACGATTGCTTATATCACGTCAAACCATAAAAATGATACTTTATTCTCAAATTGTACATTGCGTGGCCGCATCCTTGTTTTCGCATGGGCCCGTTTGCAGTCTCTTTTTTTTTTTATAAACATTTAGTTTATACTTCATTCCAACATACCCAGAAAGTTCTAGGCCTTTTCTTTTTTTTTTTTTTTTTTGTAAATAAAATAATTTAGCTACTTCAGTCATTCGGGTATTTATGCACAAGTGATATTTTCAGTCTGAGGAGCAGACAAGAAATTCTAAAGCTTGGCGAATCTGATCCAAACATGTCTGTCCTCATAAATCTTAGAAACTTAAAAATTGGATAGGAACACGTTGGAAAGTTACGCCAGATTCTGCTACGCACAACATCTATTTCCTATACTGCTCTTGCTCTTAAAGCGCTTGGGGAAATGTGACATTGAGACATACAGGCCCTTAAACGACAGCCATCGTTTAACACTGACTCAACTTGAAACAAGTTGGTTTCAAAAAGCTTTTCTGCTCAGGACTTGTGTCCCCAAAGGAATCTGAAAGGGAAGGCTGAGGTGATATCGGGAAGAAGGGCGATCGTAGAGGGAGAAAATGATAGTTTCCTCT